CACCTGTAATCTACCTCGAATTGAACGAGTTTAGGGACAATTTGCTTGTCAAATGTGCATCTCCGGCAATTTGCAAAATTGACATTTTCTTCGTTGCAACTCTCCCTCGCGATTCAATTTATATGAAAATTCGCAAAAATGATTTAATGAATGTCATCTGTGCTCTCTCTTTCTTTCTCTCTCTCTCTCTCTCTCTCATGTAGAAGTATTTGGAAATTATTACAATATCAATGAATTTCTTTTTTTTTTTTTAATCTTAACGTGTATACTTAACAAGATATTGATTATAATATTACCATTAAAGACCTTAAGTGGCACAGTGACTTTAAATGAAATTCTAACCACATTGAAAAGATTTATATCGATTTTTGTTAGAAAAATTTATATATGTATTTTCAGAGATTTAAATGATTTTCCATGAAATATATAACTGAAATCTTGTGTACTCTATATTTTAAAATTTTTCTATACTTTTTTTATACTTTAATCCCTCTGATGAAAATGGACACGAAACTTGAGAATACAGGAAATTAGCAGTTCGCCAATCGCAACAAACCTATAGAGCCCTTGACAAAATTATATTAACCGTTCAATCACTTATGCACGATAATGTACATGCGCTTGATTTGCACGAGTAGATTGCTTCGCAAGTATTTCGTGCAGGATTAGATACCGACATGGTAAAAAAAAAAAAAAAAAAATTGAGAAAATTACGAACACGTACGAAACTGTTCGCAAAGCAAGAAATATAATATCTATTTCGAGCTGTTTCTTGCATGCTTTGTTACATCGTGCCTGGCACTGCAAGCGAAAACCAATTTCAAGAATAATAATAATAATAACAACATCCCGGATATTACTTCAATCAACTTGAACATTTAATGATTCTAAATTCGATCTGAAATATTGTAGCTCATGCACTTGTAGATGGTTCATTTGGTAAACGAATCAGGTTCCATGGAAAAGAAGTTGCGTTTGCGTTATTTTCGATTAGAACCACTTCACTCTCCGTATCGGATAGATTCGATAACACGATAGCGTAACATTCGATCGTTAATAAAACAAATTTGAAAAATAAATTGATAGAAGTGTGGTATAACGTTGAATGAAATTGAAAGAATATCCTATGAAATATTAATCAGAATTATCGATCAACATTATTAAGTCTTAGGGTATGTCCTAACAATTTTATGACTTCGTCTAATGTAAAGAATCAATATACTTCGTTGTTTTCGTAAACTAGTCTTTATATTTCTTTATATCATTGTATTAGATTTCTTTATATCTTTGTATTAGATTTTTTAAAACAGTAAATCAGTAGGTAATATATCACACATATATTCGTTTTTACTCTGTACAGACACATTCTTTAGAACGTTGATTACATTCCTCTTCGTGTCATCACTCTAAAAAGATGGTTCTAATTGCAGAAGATCGCTCTAAACTAGAAACATTCGCCAGACGAAGATTTATAATTCGTCGATTAGGTTAAACAATTCTGTACTCTGTTTTCGATATCGACACGTTGCGAGTGCAGTTTCCATTTATCCCACACCTATAATCGCATCCCTACAAGCTTTGGTGAATCCAGCGGGAAAATCGTTTCACTTTTCAACGATTTATCGTCGAAAGGAAATCGCGTATATTCACGGTTTATCTAGCCAGCCAGTGTAATTCATTGGCTACATCGGAGCGAATCAAATTAACTAATTCGAATTCAGATATCAGAGGTGCAATTTCACACCAGATTAGATCACGTCACGATAACGAACACAATCGTCTTCGAGTTCTCTAGCTTCTCGAACTTTGCATACACGCGACTCGTGAGTCATGCAAGTACTTTCGACTATTGCATCGTATTGGTAGAGAAAAAAATTTTATAGCTTAAAATATTATAGCTCTTTAGGTGCTAACTCGAGCAGCCTGTGCTTTAGCAAATGTTCTGAACATTTCTTTTCATTCTGAAATGAAAATATGTTTTTTTTTTTTTAACTGCTCGCACGTTTACTCGAGAACATCGAACGCCTGAAACGAAGTCGCGACATAGTATAGTATATTTTTCACTCGAAGCTTCAAGAATTACGCGATGGAGGATAAAGTTAAGTTCTCATTCGCGTGTAGTTCAATTCAAAGAGGTTTGGTTTTTCCAGCCTCATGACAATTGCAATAACAATAAACTTACCCTACGATGAGAAGGAAATGCTCGCCTCGCGATGGTTTCTTTCTTGTTGCTATCAGTTACCTAACGAAATCGATCAAACATTCTGGACGAGAGTGGTTTCACTCCCAATTAAAAAATGTATGTCAAAAGGGAACTGCGATCATTTTAGGATATTTATTCAAGTAACCTTTACACGTACAATTATTTATTTAGAACAATAAAATGCTGATCCACTAATCTAAAGAAAGCTTTATTTTAGCTCTTTGATTGTTTAAATTAGTATCGACACTTTCTTGGGCTGATTCATCGGCGTGAATTTTCCCAGATTGTTCGAGTTCGATTGAGTTGGCAACGTAGAGTGATGTTTCCTGTAGAACCATTATTAAATTTTAGACACATAATACACTTTCGGATCTCTAAGAATAAGAATACATTGTTTTATCATCCACGGAATTTCCAACAAAAATTATAAATAAATCATGTCGAACACTTTGGTAGTTTTAGTATTAAAAATGAGCACACGCTCCTCGTTCAACGTTAAACTTCCAGATTCTTTTTTTTTTTTTTGGTAATTTTAAGCATTAATTGAATTCCTCTTTCGTACCTGCAAAGTCTGTCAAACACACTTCGAACGAAAGTTAGGTGCTTTTGGATCTCCATCAGCACGTTATTCAAACTTAGCAAATTCTTCATCGTTTTCAATTCCAATTCGCTTATCGATTCGATCTGAGTTGCGATCCCTCGAAAAAACGTGGAAAAATTAGAAACTGATAACGAAGGGACATTGCTTACGATCATTACGGATTTCCTTTTGATAAAATTACTCGAGTTCTCCTGGCTTTCGTTTTCTTGAACATCTTGCTGGTAAACGTCTGCCTGTTCCAGCGAATTTAAAACATTCCCCAAACTCTTGTTGGTCTTCGATACCGGTTTAATGGACGCCGATGACGTGCTGGTATCCGTCATCTCGCTGATCTCGAGATCAATATTTTTCAGCGTGATGGTTCCACCTCGAATCAGTTCCATCAGGATCGCGTTCAATTCTTTGAATAATTCACTCTGAAATATTAAACTACACACTGTACACTTCTTTGTCTTTCTTTTAAACTTTGAAAGATATTCGCAATTTTTCCAGATAATTTTTTCACGTGATTTTTTCCTTCATTGA